TATTTGTTGTACCGAATGATTGTTTGGGTTTATCAACATATAACCAAAGCTTATCCTCAAATAATCTTTAAATTAGTTGTTCTCTCTCATTCACACTTTCCTTTTCTTCTTGCGTTCTAGCTTGCCATTTTTTTATGCATAATTTATAGGATAAATGTGAAATAAACTCTGAACAGCAAGTTCAACAATAGAGTGGGAATATACCAAAGGAGGACATTTTCTCTTTGTCTTGTTGAGATGTGATCTTTTCTTGTAACATCTCTTTTAGTTTGGCACCACATATGTTACATATTTGTGTTGAACTATTTTCGCTTAGCGAGTTACATACTTTACCGTCTCTCATCGTTAACAACAATTTAAAATTTATTTCAAACTGCACGTCGTTTATATTTATAATTGTGGGTACCAATTTTGATATTTGGTCTTCTATATATCTATTCTCTTCTTTTATCGCATCGTTTGTTTCTTTTTTAAACGAAAAACGAATAATATGGCAATATCTCATTGAACTTGGTCTTGGATTTTTCCAAATCATGGTATTGAAGCTCATTTATAATCTAAGGGGTACAAGCGCAATTAAAAATAAATTTTCATCGTTAGATTGATTGGAGCTCCCATCACAACCCCATTTTCAAATCAAATTTAACTTTTCGTTTTTCTCAGCAACAGAAAGTAATACTTCTTTCTGTTATAGGCACAATCGCCTTGCCGTCAAATCCAGTAAATCTTGGAGTGTAACTTCGGCACTTATATCGGTCACAGTGATACCAGTTTCCGGGAGGTAACATTTATATATTTCTTTCAAAACCTTGTTATATGATGGATACACTCGATGCCCTGATGCATTAGCTTCTTTTCTTATATTTTTATGTTGCTGGTTAGATAATTTGTTATTAATTATCATTGTAAGTGCCCTTTCGGGTTGCATAAGTTCCACCTTATTTGCAATACTTATTTGGGCTTTCTTAATTTTTGTTGCACGTTCCGGCAAGGCGCTTGATAATTCTTAAAATAAATTTGCAGTATCTTGTTTTCCTTCAGCTCTAACTGCTAATTCGGCGGCAAGCAGAATTTCATCGAGAGTTTTATCTTCAAGTAATTTTTTAGCTTTGCGCTTCTGCACTTTAAAGAAGCATTCCTCAAAAGCTTTTTATGGGCGGCCAGCAACAGAAGAACTACTAGCTTTTAGATCTTCTTCTGAAAAATATTTTTCTTTCAAAAACCAGCTTCAGCCAACTCGCATATTTCCGAACAAAATATGCATGGCTGCGACGAGCTTGCTTCCATTTCTGCTTTAATTTAATAGAATAAATGAAAATTGAATTTTCAGATTCCGTTTTTATAAATTAGAAATACTATCTACATTCCAACTTTTTAAAATATGTTCACAAATTATAGTAATTTGCTCAGTTGATTTAGTAGTTCTCCACAAATTGTATAATTTTTCATTTGTAATTTCGTCACTTTCTGTGAAAAAACAGACATTAAGTCCAAAATTGCAAATATTTGCAGATGAATTTTATACATCATATAGAGAAAAAATTATTCTACAAGAATTTATTTAATTTATTGTGGAGAAATGGGGTATATTTTTTAAAAGCTTAATAGAATTTCAAAAATAGTGTTAAAAACACTGAGTAAAAATAAGATAAAATTCTTAAAAATGAATTTAATTACCTGTAATTTCAGAATCCGTTACTTCAAACTATAGGTAAAAAAATATAAAAAAAAAACATAGGAAATATCAATACGTATAGCTTGAGCACACATTCTAATAGGACTGAAAAAATAGTTAATATATCTACTTCATTAAATAAACAAATTCTGATCACTCAATCAGCTAAGACATTATTGTTTTTCTTAGTATCTTATCATTTTTAGATGTTTTAAACATTTAGGAACTGAAATACATGCATAGATTTTATTTTCATTAACTTATGATTTTTATATAAAGTGCTGCCACATAAGCAAAAGAGAACACTGTGCGTCGGGTGTGCATATCGTTTTCAAAAAAAACAACCGATTTAAAAAGAAAACTGATTTTCCAGTCTTTTACATTTATTTTTTTATTTATACTACTACAATTTATTATTAAATTACTTATTTTGATAATTATATTGAATATTTGTTTTTATTATTCTTATTATATAATTGATTTTATATTTTTGTTAACTTTGATTAGTTTTTTTATACTTTTATTTTGATTTTATAAATTTCAATATTTTTGTTTTTGTTATAGTTTACTGTTTATTTCTTGCGTTATTGTTTAACTAATATTATTATTATTATTTATTATAAGTGTTAGTTTTTCAATGTTTTAATTAATTGTTGTACCTTTGTTTAGTATTGTCTTTTTAAAAAAAAATGAGTTAATAACTTTAGATATAACTTTTTTTTTTTTTGTATATATTTAGTGGTAACTTTTTTTTTTGAATATTGTCTACAGATGTAAGACATTTATTTTAAAATTAATAAAACAAACAGTACATTGTCTGACCGAGACAGTATGAATATATATATAATACTAATGTACACTCATTAGTTGCTTTAGTAATATGAAATACACTATATTCTGCCAGAATAGGAATTTGCCAGGAAAAACCTCTTAACTGGTTGATTTATTTAAGGAAGTAAACCTGTCAATCTAACAAAAAAGTTATCTGTTATCATATTAATTCTTTAGTTATTTTATAACTAAAGATATAAATTTATTTATTATTTTTAAATTTTTCTTCTTGATTCTTTGTTATAAACATCATCGGAAGAAAATAATTTAAATAGAAAAACACTTATACTTCTTCAAGAAGTTCCAAACCAAGTATGTAGCAATTAAGGCAAAGCATTTGCAAAAATCAAGGGTAAATAATCTTTTTGCAAATATTCTACTTAATAGGCATTTGTTTGCAAAAGTGTTCACTCATTAGTACGCTGGGTTCTAAAAATAAGCTAACAATAAGATAAACAATAGCGCTCTTAAGTTGGCCAGTCGATGTATTTTATGACAATAATAAAACATCATGAGGTTCGCATGATACACTAGCAAATAATTTGAACTTTCAATTTTTTCAAATATACATTCTTCTAAAACATATAAATACAAATAAATAACTATGAATATATGTTACTAAGTAAAAATACCTAACTTTATGTCTGTGTGGTGTAGTTGTTAGCGAGTAGGATTAAGGATTAATGAACCGTGGTTCGATTCCTGTCAAAGGAAACTTTTTTTATTTAACAAAAAACACGTTGGATTAACATTGGAATGCTGACTTCGCGCGATGTCAGTTTTTCTGACATCAAATATCATTTCCATTTCTGTTGTAATCCCAAGATCAATCCGATATTAAGATCCGACGTCGCTCGACGTTCGTTCGATGTCGAAATGCCCACTGGGTTAAGATAATAAAAATAATAACAGTTTTTCAATAAAAAGTGTTTTTTTGTATTACTTAGCATAAAAAAATCCAGACCTGTTTAGTAACATTAGAGCGGTATGAGCACCAAAAAAAGGTGTTAAAAAATACTTTCTTTTTTATTTATTTATATTTTCTATTAAATATAGGAAAAAAAAATTCCGGTTTTAAATAAAAATTATGTGTTTATGTTTTCTTCACGAAACTGTCGTTCGATTACTCACTGTACATTAGACTTCAAAAAAAAGATTTTAAACTTATAGCTAAACTTTTTTTAAAGACTCTTTGAATACATTGTAGAAAGATGGAATGATTTAAAAATGTTCATGAAGAGTAGATTAACTTAAGCTTGTTTGCAATAAAAAGTAATACAAGATAAAAATAAAATTTTAGCTAGTTATTGAAAGAAAAATTTCTGACAAACCTTGTTTTAGTTTAGTATTAATAAGTGTATAGTTTGAAATATTTTTATAAAGAATTAATTTTTTATTTTAAGCTTGCTATTTTATATTAGGTAAGGAATTTTTTTTTTAAAAGGCATTTAAAAGCACTGTAAAACATGCGTATGAGGAATCTAAATTAGCTAAACGTGCATAACTAATCAACAAATAAAAATATTATAAAAAATTATTAAATTAAATTGTAAGTATGCATTACAAAAACATTTTCATATAGAGACAATATATACTTGTAAAACTATAATTACACAGTTATATTTAACAAACAGATAATAGTTTGTATCTTTGTACTCCTCTTTAAAAAATATAAATTAAATATAGAAAAAGCTGACTAAAAACTATTCATTTATTTTGCTTTGCCTTAATCAATTTTATTGCTAAAAACAACAACTACCCTAAAGAAAAAATAGTACAAATTAATAATATTTTTATTGTTATTTTACTTTTTCTATTTAAGTTTATCTCAATTTCCTATTTTGTTAGTTTTGCTTTCCTTGTTCAAACTTCTTAATGGTGTAAAGCAGAGAAAGGTTAAATACAATGCATTAGCTTTCTCTGCTTCACACCATATAGAAAATTGTAATGCATTAATATCAAACTTTCCGATCGTTTTTTTATAAATAGTTTTTCTAGGCATTATGCTAAAAAAGTAACCATATGTACTACAATACAAGAACATAAAAGTATATACAAACTATTATAAGTTCATCTTACTTTAGAAGTTACCATTTTAAATTTGATAGAATGTTAACTTACTTTCTGTATTTCTTTGAAACAATAATTAATTTGTGTGTTTTTTTATCAGGTTAACTTTTTAACCGATATAATAAAAATAAATAATACAAACCAGGATCTACCTCCGTGCATTTCTAAAGAAAAGATATAGATAAAAGTTAGTTAAGCAGTTGCTTACGCATTTTTTCATTATTTAATTTTGATTCACTTCAGAAAAGGCTGCAAGCAACCACAATTAAGTTAGAAGTAACTATAAAAAAAAAACGTTAAACGGTTGGCAAAAAACTTAAAGAAGTAAAGTTTGTATGAGTCAGAAAAAAATAAAGATATATGAGTTCCAAACAGTTGAAGTACTGGAAAAAAAGCTAGACCAATAAAAGTTTTTAGAGCATGCAGGGCCTTACAGTATAATAATGAGACTTTAATAAACGACGGGTCAAGCGATAAAGAGTTTTAGTTAATAGAACTAGAGATAAAATCTCCTTTGACCAATGACCATGATTTTGTAAATTAGGGAAAGAGATGCAACTTAATGATAAAGAGAAAGAGGCTCAATCTTAGCAGATATCTTCTGGGTCTAATTACCTTTACAATGCGTATTTGGACGTTGTTTAGAAGAAAAAGAGCATCATTAGAAGAACCAGCTCAAATATAACATTAGTATTCTATACAGGGGAAAAAAATAATTTGTAAAGGTAGAGAATAGAATCAGGAAATAGAAAGTGGCGAGCACAATTAAAAGAAGCAATTTTAGCAGATGGTAATTTAGCAATCTATTATATATATGGTTTCCATGGAAAGTCAGTAGTAAATAATAATCCAAGAAGACACAAATATCGACACTACTGCAATAGATGTTTGCAGTAAATAAATGAGTATTTTTGGAGTTAAAATTTACAAGCCACTGTAAGCCCCAATAAGTTACAGAAGTGAGGCCAAGTTCAAGATCAACTGTGTGTTCCAAGCGATGAAATAGAGAAGAATTTTTAATTAAGACAAAAGTATAATGTCTAGTCATCAGCAAAAAGTTCAACTTTAGATATAAGGTTGTCAGGAAGTTTATTAATATAGATAAGAAACAAAATTGGACCAAGGATAGAACTTTGAGGTACCCTAGAAGTTACTTGAAATTTAAAAAGAATATTAATCTTCAAGGATAATTTTAATGAAGCAGTTAGAAAAAACTTTTGATAGTCTGAAAAGCATTTCCAGATACACCAAATAAAACAAGATTATGGTGAAGACCAACATGCCAAACTGTGTCAAAAACATTATATATGTCAAGAGGAATAGCCCTAGCCTCTCAGCACCCCTCTAATACATGATAAAATCTTTCAGTCTTAGCAGTTAGAAAGTTAGCCATAGAGCAAAAGTATCGAAAACTGTATTGATTGTATGTCAGCAAGTTACTTGACTCAAGATCGGATGTGGGAAATTTTTTTATCAAAGACTCAAAGACCTTATTATTAACAGAAAGAAGACTGATTGGACAATAATTGGAGAGATTAGAATGTTGACTAGAGTTTTTAAAAATTGGAACAACAAATTCCATTTTCAAGCGAGCAGAAAAACAAGACTTAGTCAAGTACTTATAGTTTAGAGAAAATTAGAGAGAGTTCTGGAAAACAGTTTTGTTAGAATGTGACAGGAATATTGTCTTAATCACAAGCCTTAGAAGAGATTAATCAAAGTATGACTTTTGAAATAGAAGCTTAAGTGATTTAAATGTCGAACAATGGGTTAACCTGTTTAATTGGAATGAATAGAAACAAAATGGCTATAAAATTTGAGAGACGAATTAGAAAATAAGTTCTTTACAAATTGTTCAGCTTTATCTTTGTGAGAAGTAAGAAAATCAGTCCCATGAATGATAGATGAAATGTTAGACCTTCTTTTGTTAACAACGCTGTTGAAAAATTTTCAAAAGTCTCTAGAGCCTAATTTCTCAGATAAGATACGAAATTTAGTGAGAATAATAAAGCTAAACATCTGACAGCATCTTTTTACATTGATTTCTTGCATTATTAAATAGATGTTTGTTGCTTTTGAAAAAAATGAAAATAACGATTACGATTAGATATAGCAGCTGCACAAGAGGGTGAAAACCATGGTGTAGAATGATGTTTGACTTGAGACCGACAAGAAGGAATAAAAGCATCCATTCCTGCATAAGTCTAGGAGGTTGCTTCAGAGGCGCATTTTTCATCCTAGAGGGAAAAGACATTAGCCCAAGGACGTCATGAAGAAAATCACAAAAAGAGTCCCACTCAGCTTTAGGGTGATCGTAACAAGTGCAATGATAGGGTGAGTTGGAAAATAAAGTACGAGATGAAAGATTTAAACAGATCATTACATGATCAGAACCACGTAAGGGAAAAAAAAAGAAACTAAACACAAGTTAGGATTAGAGACGAAACATAAATCAATGGGTGAAGGTAAATAACTAAAGTTGTTGAAAAATGTGTCACAAAGTTAACTACGTGAGTAAGAGAATAACAAAAGCAGAAGTTACACATTTTAGTTCAAGCAGGGTCAGTGGCATTAGAAACAAGCTATTCAGTGTGATGAGCACTAAATTCACCAATAAAGTCAATATTGGCAGAAAGATAAAGAAAGAGTATGGTCAATTTGATTTAAAAAAGATTAGAAGAGGGCAGTTTTGGGAAGAAAGAGAACAATAAAGAACATAAAGATAGATGATAAAGTGAAGAGGTGCTAAATGAAAGCACGTAACAGAATGGTCAAAGGATTTGAATCTTCATAAAAAATAGGTAAGTTGATGCATATTTATACCCCTAAGCTAAGCATGTGACAATTGGAGTCTATGTAAATCAAAGCATAGTACCCATTAACATTAAGATAAGAAGAAGGAATAGCAGAATTAAAATTAGTCTCATTAAGAGCAAGCCAGTCAAGTGAATTTTGCAAAAGAATAGATTCAACTAGTTAAATATTACTTTGCAGACCACAAATATTAGTAAAAATGTATTAAAAATATATAAAAAACCATTCCTAACAGTTTGATGTTTTCAAGTTTTTTATGTTTGATATTTTGATTTTTTTTTTCGGCATATTTAAGTTTAAAAAGAACTTCATGCATTAATAGAGAGAACACGGCTTTTGAAGCAATTTTTTCAGTCCTTTGAATTAACTTTAAACCATAAAATAGGTATGATATGTGGCCTCAACAATGCGCACCAAAAACATTAACAGGGACAAAAGCAAACCTGTAATAAGTCCTTAATAATAGCATTGCTAATAAATGTGCTTAGCCCAAGAATTTATTAAAGTGTGATATCAGGATATTCAAGACGTATTACAACAATTTAAGACTTACAGGAAAGATTTTTAAAAATTAAGAACTTAAGGAAACTTGGGACATGTGGTAAACCTGTACTCTCTTTAACTCATAATACTTTTTATATATATATATATATATATATATATATATATATTTTTATTAATTGTATTACTTGTTTTGCTTTAATATATTTTTTAAAAGTTAGTATTATTTTCTAGCATAAATGGCTGAAATCATTCGAAATCAAAAATTTCAGTATAAGTTGTCTGAACTACTTAAAAATGATTGGTATAACATTGGTATTAACTTAGATATCGAAGAACGTGATTTAGAATCAATTAGAGATGATGTAAAATTTAAAAACAGCCAGGAAAAAGCTTACGGAATGTTGAAATGCTTTATTAATAAAGAAAAACCAACATTGGACAAATTAAAAGATGCCATTAAAAAAATTGGGAAAAATGCTTTATTGAATGATGTGAATAATCTTGAAGGTAAATATTTTGTTCAATATTCAGTAAGATAAATTTTTTAGATTTTTCCATTTATAATTTATATTTTTTTTTTTATAATTTTTTTATTGTTAAATTAACTTTTTCTTCCAAGATTCAGTTTACGTTCATTTAGCTGTTTTGTTTTTATTGATTTAATAGAAAAGTAAAATAGAAAAACATTAGTTTTTTCATTTTTATTGTAATTATTTTATTTAAAATTTGAATAAAAAATTAGTTTTTCTTTTTTGTTTTAACTATTTTAAAGTTAGAAAAAAAAATAATGATCTTTTTTTGTTTTTATTTTAATTAAACTGTTTACAAGTTGAAAAAAAGATTTTCTATTATTGTTATTTTTTAATGTAAAATCACCTCCCTGAGGCCGAGAAGGCCACTACAGACAAGTAGGCTACTTAATTGTGACTATAAATCTCTCTCAACTCTATAACTCCACAACACTAATCTTGATAAGCAAGGCCGAAGCACGAGGAAACAAGTTAAGCATGGTACGACCAGGCACATAGTGACGTTAGTACTTAAAACCTCTTGCTTATGAAGCGAATACTCTACCACTGCATAAATTACCGCCTCACGGTAATTTATATACGCTTAATTAATATATATATATATATATATATATATATATATATATATATATATATATATATATATATATATATATATATATATATATATATATATATATATATATATATATATATATATATATATATATATATATATATATATATATATATATATATATATATATATATATATATATTAATATATATATTTTTTTTTTTTCAGTTTACAAAGTTAGTTGTTTTACAATAAAATAAACTATTAAAACTACTATACAAATATATATATATATATGTATATATATATAAATATATATATATATATATATATATATATATATATATATATATATATATATATATATATATATATATATATATATATATATATATATATATATTTATATTTATATATATAAATCGTGATAACAGTGTAAACTAGGTTTCCGAATGAAGATCACAAAGATCTTTTCAAAAACATTTATAAACAAAGTAATATACGAATATCTTGTAAAGTATACGCTACAGTAAAGTAAAATATATTTATAGAATTTTTATATAAGCAAATATTTAAATATAAAAGCTGTAAACAACAAAACTTAAGAGAAAAATAGTAAATAGTTAATTAATAGAAAACTTAATTAATAGCACTATAAAATGTTATTGAAAGAAAAAAATAGATTTTTTATTTTGTCTTAAAAAAGAAAAAAAAAATTGGTCAATCAAAAGCTATATTTGGTAAAACAAGTTTATTCCTTAGGTGCGGTGCACGAGAGGTAAGACAAAATTGATTAAAATTTTTTTGACAAAAAGGTTTGTAAAACTTATATTTTTTAAGAGTGTATTTGTTGCTGGGTTTTAAACTGAAAACACCTTTAAAGACTGAGGGGGATAGATTGTTTTTCCATATATAAATAAAGCATAAATTTTTTAAAACGTTGAATTCAAATGTATTTAAAAGTTTCATTTCAATAAACCAAAGTTTACAATGAGAAAAACGATCAGCAAAGTTAGTTATGCAAATTGCTCATTTCTCACAACGATAAAGACGATATAGTTTACTTTTTTCAGTACTTACCCGGGCAATATTAGCGTAGTTTATGTAGCAGTGAGTAAATGAGAAATAAAAATGTCTTAAGTTTTTCTTGTTGAGATATTTTGAGCTTTGCATAAAACTCCAATGACTTTAGTGCATACAGAGTTAATATGTGAATCCAATCAATGTTCTTAACTGAGATAAACACCTAAAAATTTAATAACGAAGTCTCTTTTTATTTCAATTTCATCAATAAAGAATGTAGGCAAGTTTAGGAGTAAAATCTTTTTTTGTTAATTTATTGGATATAAATCAGTGGGATAAAAATTTAAGTTCTTTATTCTCTGTGGCAAAAAGTTCGCTAATATCGCTCTTAGAGATGAATAAATTAGTTTCATCAGCAAACATGATGCTCATCAGATTAGTTGCTTTATTTAGATCGTTTATATAAATTAAAAAAAGGAGGGTCCGAAGATTGAACCTTGTGGAACTCCACAGGATATGTTTAAACAATTTTTGTGATAGTTTTTATTTTCAACAACAAACTATTTTTTGTTTGTTAAGTAACTTCTGAACCACCTTAACGCTTGGTTATTTACTTCATAGTATTTCAGTTTTTCGAGTAGGATGTGATGTTCAACCGTATTGAAGGTCTTCCATAGTTTGATAAAGATACCTAATGTATATTTTGATTGTTTGAAAGATTTTGAAATTTCATTTACAAATTGGATAATTGCATGCTTTGTTGAGCTATTCTTCTTAAAACCTAATTGATTAACATAGATTAAGTTATTTTTATCTAGTTGTTTATATATTCTGTTGCATATAACTCTTAGTGAAACTTTGGTAGTTTTTAATTTTTATGGAAAAATTCATTGTTTATTTGAGGCATTGAAAACTTTGAAAAGAACATCTTTTAGTTGCTTAAAGCAATCAATAATCACATTTCAATCTATTTCGTCTGGTCCACATAATTTAATTTTTTAAATAGATTTTAGCGCCTTTTCAAGTTCTTTAATTGATATATTAGAGAATAGTTCATCAGAGCATATGCACTCATCAAAGAGTAATAAAAACTTACTAAACAAAGTTCTAGTGATAGCAATCTTATTTGATAGTTTAGGAGCCATTTCAGAAAAAAATTTATTAACTTTGGTTCCAATATACAAGTGTTTTTAATTTTAATTGTTTGTGGCAGAAACCCAAAGCATGGTTTTTGTTATCCTAAAATATCCTTTATTATTTTCACAATGCGCTTAGTGTTATAATTGAATTTGTTAAGTAATTACAAGTGATAATTTTTTTTTAAGTTTTTACGAATTTGCTAAATATTTATAGTTTTTATAATTTTTTTTGTTTGCAGTTGTTTTTGTTTTTAGAAAGTTATTATATAACTTCTGCTTGATTTTGAAAGATATTTTAAACCACTTGGTAATACAAGAAGAATTCAAACTCTTATATTTTGCTATTATTTAGGCCGATGCTATTCGCACGGCCGCCGTGTTCTAATTCTAAAAAGGCTGTTCGCACGGCCGCCGTGTTTTCATTCTAAAAAGGCTATTTGCACGGCTGCAAAACTAAATATTGCTATCAATTTTTGAATCACCTCCTGATAATCCTGATAGAAACGCACGCTTTTAACGAGAAAAGAGGCGTTTTTTTATTGCTGCTAAATAAGTTTTTATACTTTGAAATAATTCAAAAATGACAAAATCTTTAACAATTGTAAAAAAATTTTTGGAATATCATGAAAGCACTCTACTAAAAACCTTTGGAGAGAGATTTGATATATTAGAAGAAAAAATTTTACAGCGAAATTGGAAAATTAAAAAAAGAAAATGCTTTACTGCAAATCGAAGGTTAAAGAGTTCTTAAAGGAGAAACTTGGAATTAAAAACAACATTGCAATCGAAAGAGCACACAGGACTGGGAAGAAGCACGTATCTGGAAAAAGAAGAACTATCATGGTAAAGTTTCTTAACTAGAAAGTTAGAGAAATCGTATTAAATGAGTATAAAAAAAGAAAGCTATGGAACGAAAAAATATATCTCAACGAAGACTATAGCAATCTCACAATCGATAAAAGACGATTTCTATTTACAAAAGCGAAAGAACTTCGATCTGAGGGTAAGTTTGCTAAAGTTATATTTACCAAACTTGTAACGCGCGCCTCAGAAGTATAAGAAATTCTTTTAAATCTTATTCAGCACACAAAAAATGATAACAACAAAAAATATAAAATAGATGGCTATGAATCACTTATTTTCAACTTTAAAAACAAATACATTGGATCTGAAAAAAAACACAGATCCAGATATTAATTATTTTAATGTCTTAAAAATAGATTGTTTTTTATCATTATGCTAGTGAGTTAAAAGAATTTCTTTCTAAAAATGGCGATGAAAACAAAAAAATTAGAATTGTCAACATAAATATAAGAAGTATGAACTAAAATTTTGAAAATCTTCGACATTTTATGGAAGAAACTAAAAACTATTTTGATATTATCTGCTTAAAGGAAACTTAGTGTTCACAAAATGAGCTTAATAATAACTTTAATTTCCATCTTCCTAATTTTGAAACAATTTTTTTAGAAAGACAATTAAATAAACGCGGTGGAGGAATTCTGATTTACGTAAAACAAAACATTGCGCATAACGTTAGGAATGATTTGTGCGTTTCTGATGGCGATAAAGAAATCGTAACAATTGAAATTTTAAACTATATAACCGAAAAGTTAAAAAGCATTCTACTAAGTTGTTGCTATAGACCAACTGGTGGTGCGTCAGAAAATTTAAGCTCATAGTTTAAGCACAACATTTTTCATAAAGGTAACAGAGAAAAAAAAAAAAAAACTTTGTAATTGGCGATTTAAATATGGATTGCTTACAATATAGCAAAAACAAAAAAATAAAAAATTTTTATGATGAAATATTTGTATCAGGAGCAATACCGCTTATCAACCGGCCTACTCGAATAACAAAAAACTCAACCACCCGTATAGACTATATTTTAACAACAAATATATATGACAATGACATTCAAATAGGCATTATAAAATCAGATATATCAGACCATTTTCCCATTTTTCTAACAATTAACACAAATTCAACTCCTAACATTAATAAAAGTCAAACTATAAGAAAACGTATTTTCAACAAAAAAATTTAGAAGCATTTAAATATCAATTATCATGGTTAACCTGGAAGCATATAAGTTTTAATAAAGACATAAATGTAATCTATATTAAGTTCTTTAATACATTCTTCTCGGTGTACAATGCAAATTTTCCCGTTTCCGAAATAACTTTAAAACCAAAAACCTTAAGTAGTCCTTGGATTACCAAGAGTCTTAAAAAATCTTCGAAAATTAAACAAAAACTG